GTGCATTCAAGAAATGGCTTGGAAGCAAAGAGCCTTCTAATCGCGTGAGATATGTCAGGGCACGCTAGGCGGAAGCGAAAGCAGTGGCGAAAGACAAAGACGACTCCTGGGAGAAGTTCGGTGGAAACAAAGTATTGTGGCAGACCATTCGCCAGCTCCGAGGTGAAAAGAAGGGCAAACACAAAATCTTGAAGGGCAGGTTTGGACACCCTCTTACCAAGTATGAGACATTCTTCGGCAATGGAGAGAGTAAGAGTACTCTGAGGAACTCATTAACTCCGAGCAACCGCAGTAAGACTCGCCTGTAGAACGGCAGGTAACGGATATAACTATCACTGTAGATAAAATATACAAGCTGTCAAAAGTCTGAAGAGCGGAAAGGTTGTTGGAATTGATGAAATGCGCTCAAAGGATTAGGCAAACAAGGCATGTGCTGGTTTACACGTGTCTGTCAAACTGCAAAACTACGAGGAAGACACCGGTGAACTGGAGAACGTGGGTTATAGCATCCCTGTTCAAGAAGGAATACCACATGGAGTACAATTATCGGTGCATTACCTTACTAAGCTTCCGGGGAAAAGTCTACGCAAAGGTGCTAAATAAGAGGAGCTGGGAATAAGTGACTCCAAAATAGAGGAAGTGTAGTACTGCTTCCAGTCCTGCTGAAACACATGAGACGAAACTTTCGCCCTACGCCAAGTTGTTGAAAAATCGTGGAAGTTCGCTCATCTGGTTGATATACTCATCTCAAGAACAATCTCTGAGCATACCTGCGAACATATGGAATCGATGGCCAGTTGTTACGAGCCATCTTATTACTATATGCTGATAGCAGGTGCTGCGAGAGAGTAAATGGTCTCCTCCAAGGCTGCGTCCTGTCCCTATTCTGTTTGTGTTGTACATGGATAGAATAATCAGAAGCTGCCAAGGCGATGAGTGTATCGGTGTAGGAGATGTGAAGTCGAGAAGGTTGCTGCTTGCAGACGGCCATGGTTTATTGGCATCTTCTGAAACTAATCTACAGAGCTCCCTAGAAAGCCTAGTGTTTCCTCGTTCTCCTGTCCGTTCCTCTCTTAAGATAAATGGAATCAGTGGAACAAACAGAGAACTTCAAGTACCTCAGGGCTGTGTTTACTCGTGATGAAAAATTCGACGAGGAAATCGAGCGGCTGAAGTCTGAAGACTAAACTCTCGGTGTTAAAGTCGACCCTCACACCAATGCTTACCTTCGGTAATGAGTCGTAGACTATGACTGAAAAACTTCGATTCCGGGTACAAACGACTGAAGTGGGTTTTCTGAGACGAATCGGTGGCCTCACGCATCTGGACATGGTCCCAATACAGAAATCTGTGAGAGCCATGATGTACAGCCGCTGCTTCTTCAAACTGAGAAGTCACAGCTGCGATGATCTGTACATGTCTTCCAGAAACGAAGGCGAAACAACTATGTCTTGCCCAGCCAACCAGCAAAGGCCCAGGAGACGGCCAATTTAATCTTGTACAAATATATGGAAGCAGTTTGCTCTAGACTCCAGTTACCTTCTGCCGAACCTCAAACTTTAGCAGAGTATCAGGAACGTTGGAAGCACTGTCTGATCCTTCTGCGTCCGTGACCCGAGAGGAGAAGCGGTGGTGGCAGATGATGAAGATGCAACAAATTTCTTGAAAAACTTTAAGTGATTTATTTCTTAAGAGTGTTAGGGTAGAGGGTGACATGAATTAGCTAACAGCGAGAAGGTGATAAAAAAACAATTTATCAGAGGTAAACTGTAAAATAGACAGTAATTGAAGTGACCATCGAATGGATCGTTTAGTAAATCTTGAATATTAGCAACTGGCGCAATCATCGAATAAGAAATGAGATCAACATGCGTTGCCCGGAACAAGCTTACGTCGTTGAACTGAAGAGATGAATGTAATTTAGCTGCATGTGAAAAGTCAACGATACAAATGGGCTCTAGAAAAGTATCACCCATTAAGCGAATAATTTTTTGTCGCAGGGCATGACTCCGAATGGCTGCAAAGCTTGATTTAAACTGTCATTTTTTTCATCGCTTCGCTGATCAGTGTTTCTCGACGTTTTGCGAACTCCTCAGACAAGGGTTCCGTATTTTCAATCTGGCTCTGCAGCGAAACAAAATTTTTGGCAATTTTGTGACCGAGTTTCTCGATGTCCACACCAAATGGAACCCATGGTGGAGCGTTGCTGGAAACGGTTGACCGACCAGCAGTCTTCCCCATCTGAAAACAAAATCATTTACAAAAACTGCACCTTCACATAAACAGGACTTGCCTTTTTCTTCTCCCATTCAGTGACCATCTCCTCCACTCTTCCGCCAAGAACTCTACAGTTCATATTTGATAGAACCAAAAGGTCTTCTTCGACTTCTATCGGGCAAAATAAGCGGATCTTGGTTCCAGGAGGTGTATTCATGCTTTAGTGACAAAACAGAACATGATTAAATGTATATGTAACGGATACATTGCAACGAAACATAAATAAACAATCTGTCTTCAGTACAATTTCAAATGAATGTTCAACAAATATCAATTTGTAAATATGCACTCATAATTATCATAGTCATTCAGTTCAGTTTAGGTCCAGTGGGAAGCCAGACCACAGCGCCATGACTCACTACTGTCGTTTTGGGAACACACACGGATACCGGCGACACTCCTTATATTCAGGTTTGTAATAGGTATATTGATTTTCTGAACAAATTTATGTTCTGTCAACTTCTATGGTCACTGTTTCGTAAGTGTACGACAGTTAATCACAGTAACAGGATTTCGTGGGTGCATGCTGACATATACAAACTCAGATTCTATCATGCTCCCATGTAAAAAATACACCCGCTGCTGACTGACGGAATGGCCGTCAAGGAAATATCATTTTTACTTAAGAGACATGCATGGAGAAACCGCAGATTCAGGTTAAAATCTCTCGTTCTCAGACAGTTTCGAAATTCTTAGCGGGCGTTCGTGCCTACCATACTGACGCTGAAAAGCTGACTTCACTCTATCGGTTTTTCGAGCATGGCTTGCTATCATTTGCGAATCATTTCCACAGCATGAGCGCAAAAATTTGGTTCATATAGTAAAACATGAATCACGAATCATAATGTATCCTCCATATATAAAGGAACCTGGAATTAAACTTGAAAAATAGATGTACAGTCGCTTTGGAGTATCTCCATTGTGGAGGCAGTAGAAAATGCTTCAAATTACCATAACTGCCACCTCGCCTGCCTCCAGCGGACGTCGTTCGACGAAGCATTATGGTTATGCCGCAGAACTTATTCGACGATCACACAGACACACACAAAGTTTGAAAATAACTTTGGCAAAGAAAATAGTAATATTTATCGGAGCCAAATGTTAGAAAGCTGAAGAAAATAAAAATTCCATTCGTAACATATAATCGTTGACTAAATGGAGTCGGACAGAGTCAAACTGAAATCAGTGTGCAGAACATTTGCACAGAAAAACATCGACGACAGATTCACCGAATGCACGAAAGAACGTCATGTCACTCGAAAAACAAATTCGAATGGCAGATGTGGGCGGCACAAAGCAAAATTACTACTCCATAGCTTTTTACGGACCGTCTGTAAACGATGTTCAGACCAACAGATCAGAGAGGAAGAAAGCAAATGTACGGAAAGAAGGGATCTTAGATTCATTGATAACGCTCTGTTGTGTGACAGACCTCCGATGGGGACAGATGGATCCAAAGACCTCACCCTCAGCAGAGTGTAGATGTGGGGCCATGTGAAGATAACCATACACCAGATTCAACTCTGACAACTTTTGCTACACACAACACACTCCAAAGCAGTACGTGTCTCCCTCTTCGACCGTATCGTCCCATTTTATGTCTTGTCCACCCCGTGGCGAGAACAAATCGGCGTGCGTTCCATCCAATTTATGCGGACCGCCTCCGGTCCTCGCCTTGTCATAATCGTTCCGCTGAACGATGACAAAGGAGCTGACATCTTATCGCCGTTTACATTCGAACCGTCACATTTTCAAAATATTTCCACTGAGCACCCAAAAACAAAACAAAAGACGCTGTCTTACGGCCTATTATAGCTGATTGTGGAAGGCACCATTCAACTGCAAAACATAAAACATGCTAGAAACAGCTAAAAGCTAAAATTATATATTACGGACATGGTCCAAATAACAGTTAATGAAAAGTTTTGAAAAGAAGTTAGAAGCTACGCTTTTACGGATCAAAGTCAAAATGTGATGTGGTCACAAGAATGAAACCTCATGCATAAGGAAATCAGGTCAGCACGTGTTCAAGCTCGTCAAGAACATTCTACCTGAAGGGCCATCAGAGCAACAACAGCCTTTCAACTGAACCGTACGGCAGAAGATGCCGTAAGGCAGGAAAAATGGTCTCGGACGAAACAAGAGAAACGTCAACTGTCTGCCACTGAAAAAAGCAAGGAACAAAAAATGTTCGAGGTTTC